GTTGGGTCATGGGTCAATCTGCTGACCTGATTGTCAGGTCTAATTGGGACTATTTATGCATTGTTAGAAGTTTATACTCTTTAATTTTTTCTATTTAGTCTTTACTCTTTCAATTGTTAAATGTTTAAGTTTTTTTTATTTTATATTTGGAATTTTAAGGTTAATTTCTTTAATTTTGATATTTTCATGTATTTTTTTTTAATTTCAATTATTTTGTTGGAATGACCCAAATTGACCCATGGATTAACTCTAACCTAAACATTTAGGATTAGAGTCTAGCATTTGACAACCCAACCTGAAATCAACCTGAAGTGTCTTAACCTGATCCACCCAACCCAATTGCCAGGTCTGGTTAAAATCATCCTCTGGCCAATGTCATGCTTCTTCAACTCAATATAATCCCCAAACTCAATATGAAGTTGAATGGGCTTTAGGCCCTGTTTGTGTTTCGTTTGTAAAAAAAAAAAAGGAGGAACATAAAGTTGAATTGAATATCATTAGTGTTGCGACCTATTATGACCTCTTGTTGTACGTGGTGTAGGATGCTACTGTAACGTTTAGAAGGATAAGAAAATACATGTAAGAAGGAAGAGGAATTTATCGGCTGAAGCGTTTGTTTGGAACATTGTTTTTAATTAGAATTTTGCTTCTGCTGGGTGAAGTTTGGTGCAATACAAGTAAATTAACTTGAATAGCACCAAACTCGCAATTCAGTAATACAAAGACAACGCAATGCAAAGAATATATAATGGAGAGAGAGAGAGATTCATGTCGGTTTTCAGTGGGACATCGGAGAAGCTCTAAAACCACCAATTGTTCTATAAAGGAGAAAGCTCAGAGAAGAGTCCAGATTCTCTACTCTGCTTACACTGATTGCACTTCTTGCACTAAGCAATCAGTGTTGACAAAGTGCTACATTATATGAAGACCGAAGACCCATATAAGAATAACTGTGTTTTACACCATAGTCCTAAAAATCTGTCACATAGTGATTGCTTAGTGTAGGATAAAAATGTTGGAAATCCAGAGCCGACGTAGGAATAGACTTGGTGCATCTATCATTGCTAAAGACAAAGCAATAAGTCATTCAATTTAGCCACTGCAACACTTTCATAAACCTATTGGTGACCACAATACAACCAATATTATTTCACATATACAGTTGGATGAATATGAATAGCAATATGGGGAAACCATTTCCCTTGTTTTCTTTCAAACCAAACACAATCTTAGTAAACAACTTTGAGGCTGAAAATTCTCTTATGCACAGACTCACTCTCTCTCTCTCTTTCTCTCTCTTTCCAAAATCAGCCACAACCATCTCTGCTTGCATCTGTAGCTATTCTCCATCATCACTCCACAGTAGGATCAACCCCATGGAACTCCAGGCCCTGAGCCTCTGACCAACAGGACCTCCTCACATGCGAGTCCAGATCTGCCAGTAACAGTTAAACAACCCTAGACACAATCTGAACTGTTTCCACCCATCCAGTCCCTACTCACCAGTACTGACCCGATAATTGTATTACCTAAAAAACAAATGAGTTGAATGGATTATAGCAAAGAAGAATGAATGTAGCTTAACCCCGCCCGTACCAGACAAGAGCCTAGGATACTGGCTATATAATGAATGCCCTGCCCCAGCAAATATATCCAATGAATCCCTAACTTCAAAAATCTAAAATTCTCTGTTTTCTGCCTTAGCTAGAGCTAGGGCTGGATTATTATTTGGTTTCTAGGACAACATCAAGATCCACTTTTCTGGTGCATGATGGCATCCTGATAGCTAGAGCAGCTATCTAGGTTGGGATGACTTAGGTTGCCCTTTTATGCTTAAAAGGGTTGCATCACTGGAGGACTCTCACAACCCATGACTAAATACCATTCTACTGTAATCTTTTGTCTTCGCTTGTAGGGGCTACCATCACCTTATCGGTGGTGGCTGAAACCTCTAGAAATTGAAGTTTGAAAAATGAGGGAATTCGACAATATGGGAGCCTTTGGCATAATATCAACTTAGGCATCATCTCAGATCAATTTGAATAATATAAACTTATTGACTTTATGCAGATATTGCTATATGTTGAATTGTGATTTAAATTGATGTATATTGTAGATTTCAAAAAACCATTTAATTTAAAAGCTTAAGTTGTTAGATGAGATCTTTGAATAGAGCGATAAAGATGGAACACTAAACCATTTGATCAAATAGGTCTTAAAAAATCTCAAAGAATCTTTCAACTTAAAAACTTCAGCTGTTAGGTAAGGTTCTTGAACTAGGCTTTTATTATCTAACAGTATATTTTCTGCTCTTTCTCACTTGTGGGCAAATGCTAAAGGCTGAACTACGTTTAATCCCTAATTTCTCTTGAGTTACTCCATTTTTGTGTGTGTGTTTTTTCTATTTCTCTATTGTTTGCCACTACAGTATAAATGTGAAATTACTTGAGAAATCTCCCCTCCAATTTATCATTTCTCTCTAATCTTCTGCCAAACCAAACAGCTAGCCTTCTTTGGATTGAATTCTAATATTGGCAAATGAACACCATTGACAGCCCAAAATGATCCCAACTACATATATTTGCTCAGAAGATTAAACTCTATCTAGTGTTAAAAAAGCTACTCAAGAATTTAGAAAAGAAACTAGAGATAAAAAAAGATGAATGAAACTTATAGAGAGCTCCTCAATTGTAGCCTGAGTGAGCAAATAATCAATCTGGGTTCAGATGAAAGAGGACAATAATAATGTAAACGTCCCCTTGGTTTTGGTGGTTTCCCAAGGGGGGAAAGAGGAGATAGGAGGAGGGGGAGAGGGTCATTTCATCATCTGATTGTGTGTGTGTGTGTTAAGTAACTGTTAAATGAATGATAATAGCAGAGGCAGGCAGCAACTTGGACGTTGGACATGAAGAAAGAAGAGTGGTAGTGGCGTTGGAATGATATAATACAAGTTAGATAGAAGAAAGGAAAAGACAAAGACCCCACTCGGCCACTCGCAGTCAAGATTGTACGCAATCAATCAGATGAGAGAGAGAGAGAGAGAGAGAGAGGGGACCGGAAAGGGGAAGAGTCCGGGCCAAAATCCAAATGGAAGAAAGCGATGCCGCTGGGATGCAACCAAAAACGGGCCACGTCAGCGCATGTGAACGTCCTTGTGTCCGTACCCGGTACCCCCCCACCCCCCACCCCATCAGATCTCTCTCTGAGAAATAGAGGAGGAAGGAAGCTAGGTTGTACCTTTCCACCACAGTGCACACGTGTATATGAGCAGCAGAAACACATTGGGAGGTGGAGCAAGTCAAATCGTACCGCTGCGACAAACCACACAGTCGCACACGTGTGTATCAGACCTCGTGTCTCGGAGTGGACTACGAGATAGAGAGCGAGAGAACGAGACTCATTGTGTACCGTGCAGATCACTTTCACTCCACGCTACAAGCCTACAACCCCAATAACCTAATGATACATCACCAAACAGCCTCGGTTTGGATCTGCTACCCATACAACGCTCCCAACTCCACCCCAACATGTCACTATAGTCCCAAATATCTCATTTATGATTAGAGGTTTGTGTTAGGGGTGATCATCAGAAATTAAAAAACTGAAAAATTATACCAATGTAATCAAACCGAAAAATCAGATTTCAATTTCGTGTTTTATATTTTCTATATATATTTCATGCATATTATATATATTTTTCATATGTATTAAACATATATGGGAATATCTCATATGTATTTAACATACATTATAAATTCAAAAAAAAAAACAAAACAAAACAAAAAAGACAGTGTTGGTAGTAGATCTGAAGTCAAACACGGTGCATATGTCTGACTCATTTGGTTAGACGTTGAAAGTTGAAGCCCAACCGTTGGATACTTAACCCAAGGATCTACGCCTGGGATTGCAACAGCGCACTGCATTCTGGACTGTGGAGGCCCGATCCAACCAGAACTGAACCAGGCGTTTCAGCCCAAGGTGATGGTCCACAGGCCCAAATTAATATCCTGACAGACATTGACAGAGCAAGTGAGCAACTCACTAGACTAGTACCCAGCTGGATTGGAATAAGTGGCGAAAGAATATCACCTACCCACTCAACAATTTGCATGTGGTTATGGTTGTTACTTGTTTTGATTGTCGGTCGTCCTGCTCTGCTCTGAAGTCTGAAGTCTGATCCATACAGCAACATGGGCTGGGCCAGACCCATATCCAGGCCTGAAGCCTCCCGCTACTTTTTGTAGTATTTGTTTCTTCATCGCTGGTCCAGCTCCAAGCCTCCAAGCAGAGTGAACACGCTTCGGGAGCCCCCATTCCATTGTACTCTTCGTAATGCAATCGCCGCGGATCTCCAAGGGGCCCCATCCCATGAGAATGAGTGGGGGATCCCTCGGTGGATTTGTTTACATAGGATACTTCATACTTGTTCGGTGGCCGGTGTGGGGACCATCTAGCCGAGTCAAATTGAGTCAAGTTCGACTCAAAAACTCGGAGATTGAAATTCAATTCACGTTCGATCGAGTTTTGTGCTTTAAACTCTGAATTCGATTCGAGTCAATATTTACATGCTAGTCGAGCTCAATTCGATTCGATTCGATTCTTATGGGTTACTTGAACTTAATTCAGCTCGAATCAATTATAAATAAATTTCTATTAAAAATTATAAATTTAGCTTATAAGACTAATCGATTCGACTCAATAATCTTTGAGCTGAAGTAGAGTATTTAGGGAGCCGAATCCAAATAGTTTGGGAGTTAGGCTTGGCTTGCTTACAGCCTTACACCCCTAGGACCGTTGTCCGTTGACGCCTGTCGGATCTCCAGATCTGAATTCCGGATCTATCCGATCGATTAGAGTAAGAGGGCACACAGGGATTACAATTCACAAATGTCCAGATCCCAACAGTAAAGAGAAACTCAGTCGAGCGACTGGTTGGGGGCTCGAGGAGGACACCCCCAAGGACACGAAAGAAAGAAAAGAGGAATGGTCGAGAGCACGACTAACATGTCAAAAAGATGAAATAGATTCTGTACTTCTTTTTCTACTACCGTAGACCTTATCTTATTTTATTCTTTCTTATCAAGGTGGAACCAGAATTACAACAGAGCATTATTTCTATATTCTAGAATTCTGATATCTTCCTTCCTATTCTATCTTCTCTTACATTTCACGTTTTTTCTCTTTTCTTCTTCTTCTTCTTCTTCTTCTTCTTCATTTTTCGTCTTTTTCTTCTGTTCTTGCTGCAATTTTCCTTCTACGCTGAACGTTGATTGGATATCGCTTGAGAGTCCTGGTGGTCGGGAAGAAAACCAGTTTGTCTTCGTCGGCCGGATCCCAGCTACAATCATTCGTTTAGCAATTAACAAGTTAATTTGTGAAAACCCAGAAACAGAAACGCAAAAAAATTTCATTTTTCTTTTCCTGGTGCATGTATAAATCATACCTGAAGCGGGTGACAAGGTGGTGGAGGAAGACTGAGATCTCGACTCGAGCAAGCTCATACCCAGGACAAAGACGTGGGCCTCCGCCGAATGGCGTAAACAGATTCCCTGTCGCTGTTGCTGCTCCCCCCGTATTACTCTGTTTCAATTATATTTTTTAGGTTACAAAGGCTCTCTCATTGTTTCATTGAAAAAAATAAATGAATGAGTTCAACAGAAAGGGAGAGAGGTGGGGACCTGCTGCCATCTCCAGGGATTAAAGGTTCGAGCATCTTTATAGTGGTTTTCGTCCAGATGCACAGCCCGAAATGATGCAAAAACTTTCCAACCCTTTGGTATGGTGTAGCCTGATAATAATTAAATAATATATTTTTAATTAATTTAAAAAGTTAAACAGTTAAATAAATAATAAATTAATGATAATAATAATTAGGCATTAATTAATAAGTAAGAATGTTAGAACAAACTGACCCTTGATATTGACATCCGTCATTGCTCTCCTAAATACACCACTAATGATGTTTGCCACACGCAAGGTCTCGTTAATCACCTAAATAATCAAATTGAAACACGTAAACATAATTAATTAATTAAGCAAATACAAAGTCAATAACTCATTAACCCCACCCCCCACGACGAAGAGCTTACGCATTGAGTGAAGGGCATGGACTTATAATCGTTCCACTGTAGGCTCTCCTCTTCTGAGTTTCGTTCCTTCCGAGCCCTGATCTGGTCGTGCTCCTCCTGCAAAATGCGAATCCCCCGGCACACGTAAGATGATGATGGCATTTGATTTCATTTCACGACCAGATGAAAAAGAGCATGGGAGAGAGACAGAGAGTAGAGGAGACTCTCTGTGATGGTTTTTGAGTAGAATCTTTTTCTTGGATTGAGAAAATTCTCCTTGGAACAAACAAACAAATTCCACGTATGGCGAAATGCTTAAAATACTAAAAACGGACGAGACCACTTGGGATGAGAAGGGAGCAGGGAGGTCGATTCTCTCCATCCAATCAAAAGCGCAGCAGCGACACAGAGAATCCTTCCCAAGGCAGCATGGGTCAACTATAACTTACTTCTTATTTTCTTCAATTGGACAAAACATTTCTTTTTTTTTTTTTTTGATAAAACGGGATAATAACAGAGATTGGACAAAACACTTCTGCCTCTGCCTCTGCTTCCCTGGTTACCTGCCGGCTGCCGCATCCAGGAAACCCTGTAGGCTGTAGCAGCTCGAGCTGCTAAGAGAATTAATTACTCCGTTTAAAAGATTAAACCAAGTGAGAAATTCTGGTCCGGCTTAACTGGATGGACCACAGCCACAACCTCACTCGACGACAAAACCCCAGGAGAGGGGGAAGAAGAAGGAATATGGAACAGAAACAGAGTCCGCAGGCAGAAAAAACAGAACGCACCATGAGCTGAGCCAAGGCGGCAGGTGTCTCAGTGAGAAACTTCACCGCCAGTGTCATAATGGTGGAGGTGGTCTCGTAACCCGCCACGAGCAGAGCCAGCAGGAAGTCTACGATCTCCTCATCCGAGAACCCGCCTTCCCCACCTTCCAATAGTGCTGCTAGCATGTCTTTCTTCTTGACTTCTCCTCCTTCGCTCTCCCTTCTCCTCTTCCCCACGATCAACCGGAGAGCCTCTGCCACCTTCTTTCGGGCCTGCGAGAAATGGGGTACATGTCAAATTATCACAACAGTCCAAGGAATGGAATTAGAAGAGTGTCGTTCAGAGTTAATAATTACTTTGATAGCTCGGCCATAAGCGCTGAAGAAGAAAGGCAAGGGAACGGAGAAGAAGCCCTCGATGAGGAGAAGGTACTCCTTTCTCAAGCTCTCAGTCCATTCCCCTGGATCAAAGCTCATCAGCTGCTTCACTGCCAAATTGAATGTAATCTGCGAAATACAAATTATTTCAGTTAAAGAAACACTTGCCTTCAAAAGAAAAAGGGAAAAAAAAAGCAACAAAATTGGTCTCGTTGAGGGAAAAAATGATAAAGAAAAACAGCAAGGCAGACAAGACCCATGCACACATCTCTTCTTTTTCCTTTTCGGAAGACATTTCAGGGGGAGCAAGGAAAGTTTCTGCACTGAAAAAGTCGCTCCCTTTTCTTCTTCCTTTTACTAACTTGCGCCGGGATGTACCGGATCAGGAATACAAGCTCGCTTTAGATTTGTAGCTTGCACTAGAATTAGCAGAGACAGAGAACAGAACAATTCGAAAGTTTCTACGGTTTCGTTTCGGTAATATGCGCCGGAATCAGAAGTGACACGAGGAAAATATCGGGACGCAACAAAGATGCAGAGAGAGAGACAGAAGCAGAGACAGAGAGAGAGGGAGGTGTATATTCTGCTAAGATGAGCCGTTAGCATAAAGCGCACCTTCTTCGCTTCCTCTTGAAGGAAAACATGGCCGGTCCAGGAGTCCAAGTTGAGCCGAACCAGCCGGTCGATGTCGACAAGAAGATTGTCCTTGATGATGGAGGAATTAGCGAAGCTCATGGTGAGGGAATGCATCCGCTTATGGAGGCTTCCTTTCATTAGCAATAGAGAATGCTTCCCGAGGAGGTTGGAGATGGAGGACGGGTAGCTGCACTCGAACAGCTTGCCTTCGTTCTGCAGTATGAACCGATTCGCCTCCGGGTCCGCTGAGAACACGGTCGGCTCGCCGAACACATGAGTCGTGAACAAGTTCCCGTACCGAGCCACCCGCACGTCGATGAACGGTTCGGGGTTCTCGGTCTTGTAGGCCGCGATGAGTTGCAGGGTCTCGCCGATGAGTGGGAAACCAAGGTTACCTGGCGGGAGGCCAAGTTTTCGATGTCTGAATCGGAAGTAACGGAGGAGGAGAAAGAGGAGATACAGAGAAGAAGAAGAGATGAGGAAACAGAGTAAGAGAAACTCCATGGAGAGAGAGAGAAAGAGACAGAGAGAAGGGGTTCAGAGTCTTCAGACTTCAGTGAGTCGCAGAGTGAAGATTTGAAAGCGCGCACGGGGGGTCTCTGCAAATATGCAGGAAAATCTAAAGAAGACGAGAACGCGTGGTTTAGTATCTGATAACCCTTTTCGGTATCTGTTATGTTTGAAAATAAGGATTAAGGATAAGAGAAAGCTTTGATGTTTTCTTTTTTTTTTTCTTTTTCTTTTTTCATTTATTAAAATATCCTTATAATTTCATAAATTATCGAAACCTACCATATAATTTGTATTTTATTAAAACACCCATATAATTTGTATTTTATTAAAACCTACCATATAATTTGTATTTTTTCATTTAATAAACTTTCCATCGGATGAAAATAACAATTTTAATCCTAACATCCATTTGAATAAATTTAATTAAAAGAAAAGAAAAACTTAAAATAAATCATGAGCTCATGTCGTTGAACATTTTGCATTCTATTTAGAAGATCATGTTACTAATTTTAGACGTCAAAACAAATACTTCTTAGTGAAAATTTGATTAATTAAGGTGGTGTTTAGAATCAATGTCGTTTTCTGATAAACATTTTCACAAAAAAAAAAATCTCAAATTTTCTATTTAATACCATTGTTGTTATTGCCACAGGTGTTTTTTCAATTGCTAGCACCATTAAAAATAACAGGAAAACATCAAAAAGCATGTTTTCTCATATCACATCTACCCTGATTTTTAAGGCATTGTGTAAGAAAATGTTTTTCAAAAAATTGACCAACCCTTTTTTAATAAAATAAAAAGTAACTTGCAGGGGTATTTTAGTAAAATAAAATTTATATAATAAATTTAAATAAATCTATCAAAGTATAAGAGTATTCTAGTAAATAAACCTTTTTCTTTTTTTTTCTCACTCTATCACTACGGAAGAAAAAAGAAGGAATTCACGTACCGCATAGTACATGACATAGGTACCAAACAGAGAAGTTCGATGGACGGTCCAGGTTAGTGTGATCCCACCTCACGTTTGGGTCCCGCTCAAGAAATAATGCCAGCATGACAATTCACAGTAGTTTAATTAATCCGATGATTAATCGGGTTGTTTTGGTCATCTGATCAGACGGTTTATGTTGCCATAGACCCTTTATTGGTAGAAGTCAAACCCACTTTGTAGTAGCAAGAAATTCCCCTAGAACTGGTCCAAGGCACTGTGACATAAAGCTGACATCTTAACTAAGGAGTAAGGACTTGAAGCTAAATTTTGAGTTTAATTCTTTAATAAATGGCTCGTTGATTTAGCTGAGATTTCAGTTGAATTGTTGATTAGCGAATAAAGGATTCCTTTGCTCATTTTTTGATGGTCAACCATATAAAATATTCCTGTTCTGCTTAAAATCAACTCTACTCATTTTTGAATTCCATGATCCAAAGAAAAAGGGAAATAGGAATTGGGGTATGAAGTTCGTTTTCTTGCACCCAGACAAAAGTTCTGTTGTGAAAAAACAACCTCAAATGACGTCCTCATTCTTGTTCACGCATGCATCTCCATTGATTCTGTTGTGAAAGCTGATGCAAGGCATTGGCAAATACATAATAAAAATCACTTTCATATGAGCGTGTTTGGCATCATGATTAGTTTTATTTTCTTAAAACAAAACAACTATAACATCAGCAAAATCAATATATTTTTGTTGATGTTGCAGTTGTCTTCAAACGATAGTGGGGGAACGCTAATCAATGAAAATTCATCAAAATATAAAAGGAGTCCGGATCTGCTCCTCACGCACCTCACACTGGCCTCGAAACATGTCCTGGCCATACATTGGGAATATCTCTTATAGTATTTATGAAAATGTACGGATAGACCCAATGCAGATTTTTGAATTTCATTGCAAAACTATAAAAATGTCAAAAACCTCCACTTTATACATCAATGTCCGCCCGTGAATTGGCATCAATTCTAACCTTTTACCTATCCCAACCGTATACTTTGGGCCTAAAAATTCTGACCCTGGGCTGAACCGCCATTCTCCCTAGTATTTATTATTCATGGGAGATGCTCCCAATACAAGGTGGGATGGGAGATCAGTGAGGCATGCTGTGTGAGGAGCAGATCCCAATTCATGCACAAGATGGTTTTAGTTGATCAGACTCTCTAGCTTGAGGTCTTTGAGTATCATACCACCCATTCTCACATTTGAGTCTTGACTAGACCTGTTCATAAGCCGGGCTCGGACTTAACTTTTGTCAAATTTTGAATGAGTCCAGCCCGAAGCCCGAGACGAATATAATGTAAAGTCAGGCCCAAAGCCCAGCTCATAAACAGGTCTAATCTTGACCAATCAAAAGTTCAAAACCGCCCCACAAATTTTGATGAATTAATTTTCATTCGTTTGTGTACTGTTAAGTGTAGGGAGGTTTGGACTCTTGGTGAATGCCCACTAAGTTTCCCTTGACAGTTAAAAGCATCAATTTATTATACAAAAGCATAAAATATATTCTTTTAAGTGATTGTTAATGAAATCTTAGACAAAGGCAACTTGCAAAGAAATAATTTTTTAAAAGAATTAAATTCAGTCAGTTTTCTTCTTGTTTCTAGAATAAATTGAGGAATCTCTCTCTCTCTATTTCTTTGCATTGTAAACTGACCTTTAGTAGGTGATACAATGCTAATCACCAACCCTTGTACCCTTAACGAAGAGGAAGGGAGGTAGTGACAAAGGCCCAAACGCATCTATCTCATCCACAACTCCACATGGTCCCCATAAGGGACATTTAGCTGTTCAATAATGACTGGACAACCCATGAAAAAGGATAACTCCAAGAACAATTCTTTCCCATAAAAGTTTAAATTATTTCTTTTGTTAATTCTTTACCATAGGGAATCCCATGAAAGACTCTCTCTCTCTCTCCAACCTTTGTCCATTTAAGCTTTTTCTAAGCATATCCCGAGTAATCAAACATTCTCGCAATCTCATAGAATGTTAAATCACAACATTCTTTAACACAAGTCTTGCCTATAGTTTTATTGTATCTGAATATTTTAATCATAGAAACTTGTCACTACCCCTTCACACAACATTTGGAGAATGTGCTAGGTAGAATCTTGTTATAGAGGAGATAGTAGGTTAATTAGTTGCCTTGATATTAATACAACTCTTGATGCCATCCTAGTAGTGGTTGGACAAAATTCTCAATGCTTAGATGCCATAAAAAAAAAGGAAAGAAAAGAGTACTGCAAAAATTGCACTAACTTAATTAAAACCGGATTAGGGCATTTTGAATCCTAAAACCTAAACTCTAAACCTCTAAATTCTTAAAATTCTAACATTTAACCCCTAAAATTTAAGTGTAAAATGCATTTAGTTGGACGCACGTATACCTGCCCTAAGATGAATTCATTTTTAATTTCCACTGCTGACATGCCCGTGTTTCATTGGGGATCACAAGGGAATGCTGCAACCGCGGTCACAGCAGATGTGAACTCCTACATTCAGAGACTATTTCAACACTCACCAAACACCACCTAGCTAAGACATAGACAATGCAGATTAAGCCATTAAACATGGTCAGCAAGTAGTGAATTGCAGAAACAAAAGGCAATCAAGTAAGTAGTTGGGGTGAATTGTACTTTGAAGGCCCATGAGCATCAGATCCTTCTCAGTTGGATCAAATCATATAGCCACCCACCCATGTATTGGGGCACACGTGCCTCATCATGTACATGGCTGGGTCCACCTAAAGGAGCCGACAGTCCTCCATGGATGGGCTAACAGTTTCTGTAGGTAGCTTCAAAACCATATGCCATGTTAAGTGGATTATATCCAAATTAAACGCCATTGGGTTGGGGGACCAATGGTAGTGCCCATTTGCCCTTCAAATGGCCTCCAATTTATAAATCCCCATTCCACTGTGGACTCATAATAAACAAGGTCGAAGCCCATTTAACAAGATAGCAACCCTCAGCACTGAGCCACACAACCACCCCAATTCATGGGCTGCCACTCAGAATCGGAGAGCTAAAGAAAGAAAAAGGGAGATTTATATTATGTTAAAGAGTACTTAGATACGATGAAAACTGTCCTAACATGAATGCACATGCCGTGCATTTGTAGGGAGATTAAGACGTAACATGTATCTCCATGATCAGATAGCGAAAGTTCAATTATTTAAAAAGCGGAGCCATCCATCTCTCTATACCCTACTTCTATGTCCATGTCCACTGATGTTAATGTTTTGGCTTCCGCCTTCTCCTTTTAAATCCAAACAATGCTTGCAAAACGGAATAGAAACTCCGGCCTGTTCATAAGTCGCTTTGGAAAAGATTCAAACAAAGCTTCGGCCTCGATTAGGGCAAATCCGGATCTCCTAAGCTAAAGGTTTTGTCTAATTTGTACACTAACCAATAAGAATTCATCAAAATTCAGTGGGGTGGTTTTGATTGGTCAGGCTCAAAAAAGTAAGGGTGAGTGGTCATGATGCCTAAAGATCTCACTTTTTTGAGCCTGACCAATCAAAGCCACACCACCCCACTGAATGAAGGTGGACGAGTTCTCAGTAGTTAATGTACAACTTAGAACAAAACCTTTAGTTTAGGAGATGAAGACTTGACTTAGACTTGGGGAAGTTGGCAGATGGCTTATTCTCAAAGGTCTGCTATGTCATCTACCCACATGGCAAATAGGTATATTCAATCTGGTCATCTGGGAGAAGTCTAGCTCAGACTTCTTTCTTATAATATGGATGATAAACTAATTAATAAGGCTCAGTTTGGAAAGAAAGAATACAACCCCAAATATAAATATGCAGAGTGATAAACCTTATATTTTATATTATTTCGTATATATTTGTACCTTACATATTTGTATTTATATTCTTTTTAAATTGGGCTTAATACTCAGTTTGGAAAGAATATAAAGGCAAATATGTACAGTCTAAGTACATACAAAATAATACAAAATATAAGGTTTTGTACTCTACATATTTGCATCTGTACTTTTTTCAAACTGAGCCTAAATTACATCTTAAGACTCTTAACAAAAAACAAAAAAAAAAAATAAACATTAATTAGTTGATTATATGGTTTACATGAATGCCAACATCTAGAGGTCTCTGCTTCATTTTGTTGTTTCCTGATCAACAAACTGATCATTCCTA